TGGATGGATGGATGGATTGTGTGCCTTGTAGAATAAATGTTCACAGTTTAAAAAACTGATTTTAAAAAAACTGAAATGACATAATTATCATACTGTGATAATTTAAACTTTAGATTGAAGGATTTACTTAAAATGTCATAAAATGTGTGAAATTTATCTTATTTTGAAATTCAAACTTGAAAAAAATTAGATCAGGGATGGGGGGTAGTGTTCTGATGTAAAAGAAACTCTGATAATTAATGAACCATGTTGAGATTTCTTTTAGTTTTCAGCTGAACATGACAGCACAGAGAGCAGATCCAATGAACACAGATAAGAGCATAATGACACCATGAAGAGACGATAATCCTCCAGCATTTAGTCAGTTGTAGAATTAGGGAGAGAATATTCTTGGATTTAAACTTGTTGACAAGGCCTTTGACCAGGAGCTGAAAGCAGATTGAGTTTGAATGAGGGGCTGAGTGTGTTTGGCTCTGTCAGTCTAGTGAGGTCAGGCTGGGGAGGTCCAGAAGGAGCGACAGACTGGCGGCTTGTTTAAGCAGCCTGCTAAATTCATATGCTGCAGCTGTATTCAAACGGCATGGATGGAAAGGGTGGGAGACAGAGACGAGCCAAAGGAGGAGTGCAGCGGGTCCTGAGAAGGAGGTGTGGCGGCCCGCCCCTCATTTTCCAGCTCATTTCCCGGGACGGTGGAGAACAGAGGTTCTATTTCTCTACAGCCTTTAAACTCATAAAAACACCTGCTGGTTTCCTGGACGAGGAGGAGGGGGTGGATGAGAGATGAGAGTTTTACCAGTTCACAAGTTAAAAAAGCAACTTAACAGCTATATGTTATGAAAATCAAGTATAACTGGGTTTACAGAGTTTAATTTATTGAGCATATTCTCCAATTCACCCAGTTAAAACGTACATTGAAAAAAAAACTTTTTATGGGTAATTTCATTTTTTTTGTAGAGGAATGGAACAACAAAGAACAAATACAAAACATTTACCCACATTCAGGGGCTGGGTGATCAATTAATCCCAAAGATAAAGTATAATACCCAATCTGCATATATAGTCCCATTCCTTGACCAAATAGGCTGGCTATTTCTGCCACTGTTTTGACCTAAATCATTTGGAGTCTGACTGAGAATATAAATTGCTCTAGTACATGTAAATGTTTAACCCTGTAATGCCAAATGTATCATATTTGATACATACGGTTTCTGAAATGTTTTGCGTCTGACACCTTTTGCATAATTTAATGGTAAAAACTTTGCTTAAAATCCTATTGTACACAATCAGATATACCTGATAACAGAGGGCAGAAGACTACACAGAAAATACTCTTGACTTATCGCATAGTGATAAATTATTTATATCAAAAATGTATTTCTGTTTCTTCTTTTTACATATTTTGTTAAAAGGCCAAATAAGGACTTTGAACCAGAAAAAAAGAAATTTTCTGTTTTGTTTTATTCTTGGATCGGGCTTTAAAGGGTTAACAAAATATTCAAAATAATCTGTAGTTTTGTCATTACTTTTTTACTGGCAGCCAACTAGACCCACAAATAGATACTCAGCTTTACTCAACCTATCTGCCATATTCCCAAGATAGAGTTATGAATGGTACATTTATAATCAAGCATAAAATCTTTTAGATTATTTTTGTCACTTTTATATAGAAAAATTAAATGGGATGGGAAGAACAAAAATCTGGGCATGATCAGCAATAATCTCTCCACATCATCTCCAGTAGGTCAGTTGAGCAACAGTCTGTTAGGACTTCTGATTGGGAGTTATAAAAAACAGATAAGGCTTTCCCAACAGAATGTGTTTCCCAAACGGTCAGCTGCAAACACTTGCCCACTGGTGAAATTAATTTACTGTGCAGGTTGGACTAAACCTGGTTCAGTGGCTCCACATTTCCCACCTCTGGTTTCCTGGGAATGATTAGTCTTTGAAACAAAGTCCCACATAACCCCACATCATGCTGCTGCAACCACCATGCTTGAAACCTTGAATAATATATTTGGAAAGCCTCTGTGACACATCATTTTGGTCAAATAGCTCAGTCTTTGTGTCACCTGACACAAAAAGGATAAAGACTTTGGCTTTAACACTTTAGAAGTTGTTCATTTTAGAAAAAACTAGACTTGTCATTTTCAGGCAACCTCTCTGTCCATTCTGGTGTCAGTTTCAATGTCTGATGTTCATGAAAAAAGTAACAGTGGTGCTGCAAATTTCAGATATAGGTGATTCTCAGATTACTCCTGAACATCCTAACATGTCAGGGACTGCATAGATTATACCTAATCTAATGCCTTTTTTGTTTTTGTTTAGAAATTACTGGAAAATATGGAGAACCCCTACATGGAAAGACTGTCCAAATATGAAGAAGTGCACCTCTTGAATCTCAATCAGACTCCTGTTGCTCTGGTTGTTGGTCAAATCATTGAGTACTGGACTGATCTTTTCGTGCTGCTGAGATAAACTAGGTGTTCATATTCATCATAATCACAATCCAAGCTTAACAGGCTTTGAATTATTTAAATTAAAAGCCAACCAGGAACTAACATAAATACTCAAATGTTAGGATGACTGGAAATACTTATAATATATAATTTGGTCCCAGTGTGAAGAGAGAAAATTCACAACAATTTCAAATTCAAATGTCTAAATATATATATATATACACATATATATATATATATATA